AGAGAGAGAGAGAGAGAGAGAGAGAGAGAGAGGGGGGGGGGTCTCAACCGCACCCAAGTCGATTGCCAGCTCAGATAAACAAGGAGCGAGCCGGTAGTGCTCCGACACACACAACTGCTAATGAGACGGACCGTTCACTGACGCCAAGGCAGCGGCGGCGCTGTTGAGAACAACGACAAAAATGACGCATAAGCCATACGCGCGCGATTCGTGCGAAAGAAAAGAGGAATTTGCAGAAGCAGAAAACGGACTGACGAGGTGTTGTAAGTCCTGCGATGGGGAATCCCCCCGGGCGCTCCGCTGTGGGGGTGGGGCGGGGGGCGTGGAGGGACCACCTCCGGGGCCAAAGTCAGTCAGACAGCAGCGGCAAGCGGCCCCAACCTCGGCCCTCTCACTCACACATCAGCAAAATAAAGACACCCGTCCCAGTCCCGCTCGCACCCCGGGCCGCGCGGGCGAGCGGGGATAGCATCGTGTGAGATGAATTACAGAGGATTTGCTCCATATGGAAGGGAGCCTCTCAGTCGCCTACATACAGTGCACACTGATGCATGCATGCAAAATCGCATACTTTTAAGGCGTCATGGTGACCGAGGGCGTCTTCATATGAGCGCTTCAAAATAAAATTTAAAAAACTCCCGCTCCCCCATTAAAAAAAAAAAAAAACAACTTTGAAAAAAAAAAAACAATACTAGAAAACAAGTCGAAAACTTTGGAAAAAACGTCAGAAAGTCATTTACCAATTAAGAAGATGCTTAAAAGGGGGCAATACATACAAAAGTCTTGATCATGAGTCTGCGGATATAACAAGCATCTCAAAAATTAAGTGGGGCGTTTAAAAAAATGTCCGTTCGTTTCAGATCGCTACACGCACTCGAAACGACTAACGACCCGGCACTAATGAATATCGGTATATTTCAGAAGTAAAATAATGTCATGCTGCAGAGTGGCCCTAAGACCCGGAATATTCCGTATGGTAGTCGAATCACTGTGCTGTACAGCCTGCCGCATCTCTCCTCGCACGGCGCCTTGACCCTTGAGGAGTAGGCAATGCGCCCACACGCCTGCGTGCCGGTACAGTGCATTGTGGGCCGCCCTGCTAGCTGTCCCAACAGTATTACATATTGGAAAACATCGGGAACTATGGCCCATATTTTGGAAAATGTTGATTTAAAGAAAGGGGCTGTTCGTAAAATGAAAACTTTTTTGTTTTATTCGTTGTTGCTTTTTTATGAAAACTTTTGCTCGCGGTTGAACGCCCCTTTGGTGCGCGGCCCGCTGCTCCCGCTGGGGTTGCTGGCGGTGGTCATGAGCATCAGCAGCACGACGACATGGCTGCTGCAGAGCGTCGTCGCCCACCAGAGGGTCGCCCCCGCCCCGCCCGCCCAGAGGCATGGCCGCTGCACCGCGCCACGCCACGCCACGCCACGCCGCGCCGGGTGATACGCGTGAAGCAGAGCCGCCGCGCTGGGGATCCTTTTCAATATCACTGCGTCGCCGCGACCATTTTGTGCCGAGCCGACCGAGAGGGGGGAGGGGGGAGGGGAGGAGGGTGTGCCTTGAAGTGGAGGGTGCTGGGGCAGGGAGGGGGGAGGGGGATGAAGGGGGTTGCGTGTGAGGAGAGCACGGGGACGGGGCGGTTTCTCCGGGTGTCTGATGTTGACAGCGTTGCGGAGTTAAAGTGGTGAGAGGGGACGAGGCAACCGGTCCGCGGCGCGCCGGGCTTTGTGTAGTCTACCAGAGGAGGGGGGGGGGGAGCTCGGGGGGTGGCGGTGCAGAGGGAAGGGGGGAGGGAAGCTAGAAAGCCAGGTAATAGACGAGTCAATTTGTCGAGGGAGAAGAAGAGAGAAACGCTTTGGATCCACGCGGGGCGAGAGGGTGAGGAGGGGGGGAGCACCGGGTTAGCCTCCGGCCAGCCGGCTGTCAGCAGATCGGGGGATGCATCCCTCTGGCCTCGTGGTGTTTGTTTTGAGTTTTGCGCAAAACCAGCAACGGCAGCAGCTGCCGGGCTGCGCATAAAAGAAAGAGCGACGACTGGCGGACTGACTCCCCGGAGCCGATCAACTCCTCAGCCCTCCCCCCCCCCTCCCTTTTTCCTCCATGTATGGCTCCCTTCGACAACCCGTTTTTGAGTCAACAAAATAGCCTATAAAATGGGGCCGTGACAGCTCGGGGGGACAGCCACAGGGAGAACACGACAACGTCACGCACGAGGTGAGCGTGACAGCGAGCTCTGCCCGACGCGCAACGTGTGAGGCAACGGCATGGTTAGCCCCCGCAGACACCTGGGTAGGCAAACCCGCCGAACAGTTCTGTGGAGACGCCTGCCCACCCTGGCAGCGCCCATAGGCCCAGGGGGCAGTACTGGCGTATCACCTTCACGTTGCCCGATTTGGATTCCCCAATTGTTTTCATCATTATATCCGAATTAACCAGATTTCTCGGACAAGCAAAGGCACCCCGAGGAAGCAAACGATGAAGCCAATTTCGTATTTGACCAAAACAGCTAAAGAGACTAAATCTTTAACACGTTCCCTGCGGCCCTTTTTTGGTCCCTATGATTAAACCGACTGAATACGGGAGCGTGACCACATTGTGGTCATGCCGCAGGGAACGTGTTCAACGGCCATAACTCCGAAAGTAATTGAGCAACAGCGAGAGGGAGACTTTGCAGGATTCATGTCATGCACGATTCAAGACCTTATTTACACCAAAAGCCTACGGTAATCGGACAACGGGTCTTAAAGTTACACCTTTACATAATTCAAATAAATTAATTTTCAGCGCCCCGTTGGCATTGGCACCCTTAGAAGTTGTCCGATCCCCCCCCCCCATCCCCCACTTTTTTTGAATGTAAAGAAACATTTAATCACCCTGGACGCAATCGTTTTCGGCAAATCGATTATTTTTTAAAGGAGGAGGTCTGTGCGCCACCCTGTAGTACAGCAGGTGGCACATCAGAGGTCGTCGTACTGACACTAAGTCAGACAAAAACGTTCACTATGTTCGGCGAACCGCCATTTTACCGACGTCGGATAGACCCGAGCAGCGCTTCCCTCCACTCACCTCTCCGCCGCCGCTGTCCGCCGCCCGCCTCGCCCGCCACGCTCGCGCGCTCGATGGGTGGCCTGCTCCCCGGGCGTCAAGTAGCTCGGCGCTCGGCACGGCTCGGCTCCTCTTCGACCCTCTTTGTCGAAAATTTGCCTGTCTAAAATGCGAAAATTGGAGACGATGTCTTGGGAATCCTCCATCTCCTCCATTAAAGATTAAAGACGGAGAAATTAATAACCGCATTCGGAGCACAATTATTTACGAGAATTTTTGAATTGAATTTGGCGCCAGCCAGCATTTCCAGTACAATTTTTCGGAGGCTTGTTAATTTCGAAACTAAACATTACCTATGGCACAGCTCCAAATCAATGGGTTTTTGCTTACCCCTACACATTTTTTTGAAACTTATTTTAGATTATTCAATTACCTGAGTGAAGGTGGTGAAGGTTAGAGTTTTTGTATGGTGTATGTTGGTAGAATGGTGCGTGCAAGCGTCAGCAGCAGCAGTAGCTGCAGCGGCAGCAGCAGAAGAAAGATCAGAAAGAAAAGACACCGGACGGCAAATTCATTGACAGATATTTCTTGCGTGTGTTTGCGGTGGAAAAAAGCCTCAGAATATTTGCACCATGGCAGCCGATAACGCAGGACTAGAAGATGAAAAGATGTGGGACGACGAGGAAGTAAGAGCAACCCGGCACTTGTGTTTAAGTTCCTGTCAAAGCATTTCATAACCTTTAAAACTAATTATGACTTGACACATATTTATTCCATTTCTTAAATTAAATTTTTAGCCTTAATACGAAATTTAAGGATTTTACGCACTATTTTAAAAAGACGTTGATTCGTAAATCATTATGGTGTATCATCAGTCACTATGTTCATGCTATGGGCCCATTGTCTGTTATGTTTATCAACTAGTGTGTTGCTTTGCTCTTGTTTGCTGTTTGTTATCATTATTATTATTATTTCTCCTTAGGATGCACTAGCAGAGGAAGTACTGCGTATGTCTACGGATGAGATTGTTTCAAGAACAAGATTACTCGATAATGAGGTCAAAATTATGAAGAGTGAAGTTATGCGCATCTCTCATGAGCTCCAAGCACAAACAGACAAGATCAAAGAAAATACTGAGAAAATTAAGGTCAACAAGACGCTTCCCTATCTGGTGTCCAATGTCATTGAGGTTTGTAATTCAGTCACTGTACTTCCCTATCACACACCAATCATTCTGGGTCTGAAACGTTACGCATTTGCTCTTTTCCTTTCTTCTGCAGCTTTTAGATGTTGACCCTGAAGAGACTGAAGAGGAAGGGGCTGTTGTAGATTTAGATTCTCAGCGCAAGGGTAAATGCGCAGTTATTAAGACATCTACAAGACAAGTATGATTTGCTTTATATCTTCTTTAAAACGTGTACTGATGTAATGACTCCTTAATCTGTCAGTATGTTATTCAATCAATCAATGTTTTCAGACATACTTTCTACCTGTGATTGGTTTGGTGGATGCAGAAAAGTTAAAGCCTGGCGACTTGGTTGGAGTCAATAAAGACTCCTATCTGATATTAGAAACCTTACCTGCTGAATATGATGCTCGTGTCAAAGCTATGGAAGTTGATGAAAGACCCACTGAGCAGTACTCTGACATTGGTGGTCTTGACAAGCAAATCCAGGAGGTTTGTTTAACCATATCTCACTGTATCAATTGACAAATGTATTCGAAACTTTTTCCTTAAATTTTGATTTGTTTTTATTCCAGTTGATTGAGGCAGTTGTTCTACCCATGACGCACAAGGAGAAATTTGTCAATTTGGGGATTCACCCACCTAAAGGTGTTCTCCTCTATGGTCCTCCAGGAACAGGTGTGAAATCTTAATAATAGTAGTTAAAAAATAATAATAGTTAAGAAGAATAATAGTTTACAAAAAAATTAAAATTAAAAAAAAAACAAAACAGGTATATATTAGGGATTAATTTTTATACAAATACCCTTATTATTTTCTCTCCAGGAAAAACACTTTTAGCCCGAGCCTGTGCTGCTCAGACTAAGTCAACATTTTTGAAGCTAGCTGGCCCCCAACTTGTGCAAATGTTTATTGGTGATGGAGCTAAACTTGTACGGGATGCGTTTGCTTTGGCCAAAGAAAAGTCTCCAGCAATTGTTTTCATTGATGAATTAGATGCTATAGGTACAAAGCGTTTTGACTCTGAGAAAGCAGGGGACCGTGAAGTTCAGAGAACCATGTTAGAGCTGCTTAACCAACTGGATGGCTTTAGTTCCACTGCAGATATTAAGGTAAGTGATCAATTCAGTATTATCTTAATACTTCAAAGGCGTGTGTTTTATACACTGAAACAGAGTGTCTTAAAATCTCTTTCTTTGTTACCTGTAGGTTATTGCAGCCACTAACAGAGTGGACATTCTTGATCCTGCATTACTGCGGTCAGGTCGTCTAGACCGAAAAATTGAGTTCCCTCATCCAAATGAAGAGGCTAGAGCAAGAATTATGCAAATTCATTCAAGGAAAATGAATGTCTCTCCAGATGTAAACTTTGAAGAACTGTCAAGGACTACTGATGACTTTAATGGGGCACAGTGTAAAGCTGTTTGTGTTGAAGCTGTAAGTTGTAAATCTATCCAGTAAAACATAACATACTTTACTGACTGAAGCTAACATTATGGTTTTCTCTTTTAGGGTATGATTGCACTTCGTCGCAGTGCATCTATTGTAACACATGAAGACTTCATGGATGCCATTATGGAAGTTCAAGCTAAGAAGAAAGCAAATTTGAACTACTATGCTTAAGCTTTTATAAAATTGGTTAACTCATATGATTTATAAATTAATTAATTTAAGGAGTTCAATCTCTTATATAACTTGAAATTGCAGCAACAAGAGTTTCTTACTGCTGCAGTTTTTTTCTAACCTTCTTGGTCCTTCAACAGTTAATGAATGAATTAAAACAAACGCCACTGGACTTGGAAAGTGATATTTTACTTGATTTAACATCACTGAACACACAACATATAAAAGAGAAGTGACTATTGATATAATGTTTACAAGCAGATTAGTAAAACTGTTTAAAACTAGTAATACACTTTACAAGGAAGCAAAAGAAGAATAAATACAACAAGTTTAACCAAACACACATACTCAATTAAAATTAAAAATATTTTTTAACAAGCAATAAATAACATCTTTAAAGTCACCAACTGTTAAATAAGTCAAAAATTATAATGAAGAAAAAAACAAACAAATATTTCGTCAAATAACAAGGAGAGATAAAATGAGATTAACTTTGTACTATATCTCAATCAAAAGTAAGTTCTTTAGATCACACACTTTGGTATGGATATTTGTCATAACAGCTGACATTTGGTAACCTGCCATAATACCAGATCTAATAGGAATAGGATACTAAAGGAATGAAAACATAGAAAACAGGAATACAGTCCCACCTAATGTAGGCAATCAGACCTTGAGTAAGTTATGGCCCCATCATTCCGTGTTGTGACATGTGGCCACCTGGACCCATCCCCCCCATGTGACCGCCCATCGGGCCCCCCATGCCCCCTGCCATGGGACCCATAGGCCCTCCCATGGGGCTACCGTGCGGGCCACCCATGCCGCCCATGGGGCTCCCCATCTGCCCTCCCATCGGTCCCCCATAAGGCCCGCACATGCCACCGCCTGGTCCCATGGGCCCCACCTGCCCGCCCATGGCACCATGTCCAGGCCCGGGCATCATCCCCATGCCACTCGACATCCCCATGGGCCCCCCCATGCCGCCGGGCCCCATGCCGCCCATCCCGCCCATGTGCCCCATGCCCGGCCCCATTCCCATGCCCATCCCAGAGCCCATTGGTCCCATCATGCCTCCCATGGGCCCCATCCCCCCCATGTGCCCCATCCCCGGCCCCATGTGCATGCCCCCCGGCCCCATCCCCATGCCATGGCCGTGCATGCCCATGCCGTGGCCGTGCATGCCCATTCCGCCCATGCCCAAGGGAGAATGCATCATGCCTGCTGGGGAGTGGCAACTGTTGGGGCCAACGACCATGCCAGCGACCTAGAAACAAAAGCGCAATGTCAGACAGGCCGGGGAAAATTAATACAAGACAACGACACTGAAGCACTCACCTGCGACATGTCAGTAGGGAGGTTGAGATTCATCAAGAGATCACGCACAGCCAACAACAGCATCGACTCCTGGCCAACATGAGAACTGGCTGAGTACTCCGCAAAGCGCTTCAACTGAATGTTTGCAGCTGCAACAGCTAAGGCAGGTCCGGGCTCCCTTTTCTCAGCGACTTGAGTATTTCTGAGGGCAACATCGTACATAAGGGGAAGGACTACTGATGCTCCTTCTCCAGGACCGACACATATTCTTGAAAGCTGAATCTGGAAACAGCAATGGTAGATTAAGTAATGGGAAGTAGGGAGGTAGCTCAAATTTACGTCACATGAAAACAACGAGGAGAACTCACAAAGCACACAATTTTGTTGCGGAATAATAGAACACCAGGTTGTCCTGTTGGAACGATTGGAGCAACAGAGGCTGGTGGTACTCTGAGACAAAGTTGGACACTCCATTTAAAGTTCGCTTGTTGTGCTAGATTTGGCATCTAAAAATTTATAGAAATTCATAACATTAATGGAAAATCACTTGCCTCCACTCAAATTATTATCTTAAACCTAAATAAAGTAATAATACACACAAACAACAAATCTTACCAAATCAAACTTCATAATCTGAATAAAGTCTTTAAGGACAAACAGTGGGGTGCACAGAATTCGAGCCAGTCCAAGAAGCGAGTTAGGCTTGTAAGGAGGGCAGGCTACCCTCATCTCAAAAAACTTTTCAATTATCTATTAAAAGAGAGGTAAAACATATACATTAGCAACAGATTAATTTATTGATATAAGAAGTGTTCAGGACTAGCTCTTTACCTGCATTTCGTCTATACTCAGCTGATCTTTATACTCGGGAAGAGGAGCCACCTTCAGGTGAATGGTTAGAGAATGATAAGGGTTGAGGATAAGACGGCATTGCAGACACTCTGTTTTAAAACCAGGTTCAGCTGTCCTGAGGTCTGTAAGCTATGCACGCAAGAAACACATCAGTTCATCAATAAAGAAGAAAACATACACAATTAAATATAGGAAAAAAAAGACTTTCTAACCATTTCCTCTGATTGAATGAAGCGGTGCATTTGCCGCCTCATGAACACACTGCCCAGGAAGCGCTCCAAGGGACACAGGTCTGGCGTCCCATGTGGGACTTGAGGTGGGGGCAGGTTTGGTGCGGCAGGTGGCAGTGGACTTGGTGAGCACAGCAACTCTAGCGAGTGATAGGTCATGACAGTGGGCAGGGCAGCCCAGGACCGTAGGGTGTTGGGCCTGGGTTGCTGTTGCTCCCCCTGCACTCCTGAGCCAGGGCTCAGACCAGGGCCAGAGCGCCCCGGCGATGACCGAGGGGTGGCCGGAGAGTTGGGCCAGTTGGAAGCAGCAGGCGAGGCCATCGAAGGAAACGGACTACCATCCGGGTGACCTGTCAATCAAGTCTCACATGAGTGTGCGAAACGAAACGCTCGACGACTCTCAAACCAGGCACTGCACTGACCTGCCATGAAGGAGCTCGCAGGGGAGTGGCCGATCATGGAGGGCTGAGGTGACGCACTGGGCATCTGGAGCGGGCTCGGCAAGGAAAGGGGGTTGGGAGAGTTTGCTGACATGAGCCCCACTCCAGGGGAGGCAGACATAGCTGGGGGTGAGGCGAGGTTGAATGAAGCGGCGGGTGACAAACCAAAGTTCTGCTGGTGCTGGTTGCTCTGAGAAAAAAAAATGGAGCAGGGTCGAGTTGAATTAAATGCTGTCAGAAAATCTGGGACAAAAGATGCACTTTTGAAAGCTCACCTGAATGTTAGACATGTGAGGACTGGCTGGAGTGTGTGGGTTACTTCCCAATGGAGGTGTAAGTGGGGCGTGGAAACGAAGTCCATCTTTTGGGTTCGCTGGTGAATTGGGACCACGACCAAGACCATGACTGTTTGCTTCAGAGTCAAACGTTGCTGGTGAAGGCTGATTGTCATCGTCTGAAGAGTGAGTCTGACTCCCAGATGGAGAGTTGTCCACAGCATATTTACTAAGATAATTCTGGAAAGCAATGTGATAAAAAATTAAAACTATGAATCAAAGTTCAGAAAAAAGTGAGTACCTCAGGGTTACCTAAAATATATTGCTCACCTTTAAACCTTGGGCTGCAATGAGATCAGGGACCGAAGAAGAACCAAAAGACGAGTAAACTCCATCCCTCAAGGAAACACAATTGCCTCCCTTAATCCTCACCTCAATAGAAAAGGTTCCTTTGTATATGAGATGAAGCGTAGTGGGCGTTTGTGCTGCCATATTCCAAGTTTGAATAGGAATTGCAGGTCTCTGCAATCATATTTAATATATTCATTCTGCACTAATTAAACATGAAGGGTACCAACAGGTAACATTTACTTACAGTGCCAATAACACCAAATTGTGCTACAGAGGAAAGTTTAGAAAGAGATGCAAGGGGTTCATAGGTTTCTTGAAGAATTTGAACGAGAACAACTGAGCTCCTATTCTGGTTTAGGAATGCTTCCAACTGTGGACGAACAAGTGTATGAGCAGCAATGGCTTTACCTGATATGCCTGCAATAGTAAACAGATACAGATAAACAACAAGTTCTATTTGGAATGACAGATTAAAACTAATCCACAATTATCAGAATATATAATCATTCAAGAAAAGTAATTACCAAACAGGAGGCAAAAAGCATTTTTTTCGGTGTCCCATCCAATAGTAACAATTGCTTCTTTATTGGGGCCATATGCAATAATAAAATGCAAATAATTATAGGACTTTATTGAACATATATCTGCTAAGTGGTATTTGCTGCATTTTAAACCCTCTGAAAGCTCTTCAGCCAGCTATAGGAGAAAATTAAAAACAATATTATAAAAACATAATCCATAGATGTATAAGCTGAAACTTTTTTAAAGAAAATACTTGGCTGGAAAAATGCATTACCATGTACAGCTGTGTAATATATGTCCAATCTGCTAAAAGTAAATCAATTGTTTTGGATATATCTTCCTCACTCAAGATATCATAATGAAGGAACACTGGATGTCGATTTCCCTGTTCTTTAGGATGTGTGGACTGGAGAGGAGACCCAGCAAAAACCTGTTTGTGACAGGATTAAATTAGGCACGTAGTAATAAATTGCTCACTATTTCCAGCATTTATACTTACCAATTCCAAAATCCACACTCTTCCTTGATTCCTTGTGGAAGATCTAACTGACACGGACAACAATCTTTGCAAAAGTGCGACATAGTAAGGGTCTGTAGGTGACACTCGGTTGGGAGGTGGAAATGTCAGTATACGAAGAACAAGGCCATTGCCCTCGGCTTCCACCTAAAATAAATATATAAAAATAGAACAATTCATATTAGTAGGTAAAAAAAGGAATAAAATGTTTGAAGCTTTCATTGGCTACCCACTTGTATGCCTTGATGAGGGATTCCCCTTCTTGTCAATTCATGACACAAATTAATGAATGGTATTCTTTCTTCACACATTGATACAACATGAGCCAGTTCAGGGATGAAGTAGGCAGGGTGCTTACTCCGAAGGTGTGATTCACGGTCCGTGTTAAAATGTTTTTTACGCTTACCAAATGATTGGGATTCATCAACACTGGTACATGGGCCATGAGTGGCAACGAAAGTGTCCAGTTCAATCAGAGTAAGGACCTAACACAGAAAAATAGGGAGAAAATTACAAAATCTGACAGAAAAATACTCCACTAATGCATTCATTTAGATGCAACAAAAACTTTACCTTAAGATATGGTTTGGGCATTTCATTATCAGTATCTTCTGAAGATTGTTCTTCTTCTTGTATTGAGACTGCTCTTACTGATGCCAAGTAGAAAGCACAGGTGATATCTAAAGAAGACCCTTTATTTTCCTGAAGATCAATAATAAGAATAAAAGTTTGATGATGGTTGAACTGAATCAGCATATGATGTCTTCCTAATCTGGGAACCCAAAATGAAATTTAATTAAACAACATTCACAAAAATCCTAAATTTTAATAGAAATGAATATCACTAGTTGATATGCTACTCATACCTTGAAGCGAGAGGGCTCTCCTGGAGGGAAAGGAGAGGCAGATAATCCTTTACTGTGACAGGTAAATGCATGAGTGATTTTTCACAACGTCTTTTCATAACCCAAAATCGAAGCTCAGATAGTAAAGTAGGTAGTTTGGATCTATCTCCATTCAAAGCTACCTCAATACCCTCCGTCAATGACGTTTCATACTGAGGGACACAACATTGAATGATGCCAGTGTACGTATCAATCTGCAGGGGGAAAAACATTTTTTTTTTTAAAGAGTGGAAGCTTATAACAAACACAGTTTTATAACAGGGTGGTATCAGAAATCAGTACACTTACCGTGATCAACATTTGTTCAGCTCGCTGACAAGGCCGCAGAAGAGGAACATAAAGAATTGTTGGCACACCACTGACAGTGCATTCTACTCCAGGCAACAGGGATTGTATTTCAGATTTTAATTCTGTTAGGCAAGCTCTTGTTCGGATATGGATAGTATGGGCAAGTAACCTTTCAAGAGATAACTCAGCAGAATGGATGGCTTTTTCAGCTATTTCTGCAATTTCAGCCTAAAAGATGGAAATTTTAATATGATTTACGTGATTTAAATTTAGTAATGACAACTGAAAAACATTATTTGATTCTGAAACACACCTCTGAGTGACCTAAATGAGGATGGTGAACAACAGTTAGAGGTTTGGCACTGTCTCTTTCATTGACCTGAATACTAAATTTGTAACCCAGCTCAGGATGTGGTTCCTTCTTTGACTGCTCAACCCAATACGAAAGTGTTAAGTGATGTCCTGGTTCATAACTATGGACTTGAACATATTCTCCAAGTCGATCTTTTTTCAGTCGAATAACCTGAGAGTACAGGATCTCAAGCTGAAGTGATTGGGCAAAAAAATGGAGAATGTTGTAGACCTACAAAAGAAACAAAGTACATCCATGAACTCTAAAGGGTAAAATGTGTCATGGCACACATGTCTGAAGTGCCCTAAAACTCAGACACAAATTAATTGGTGATGGTGACTCACCTCATTCAATGAGTTAGGATTGTCTGCCAGTCGGGCCTGGATGAGGTCTTGCACATATTCCACCTGAAGAGGGTGAACTAATGGTTGTCCCCCTGACAAAGGAAAGATAACTAATTGTAAAGACAAATTAAATTTTCAGGTGAAATTTTCAAAGAAAGCAACTTTTAATTTAGAGTTTAAAAAAACAAAAAGTAAAACATATTTATCTTTAAGTTTATAGCACAGTTTTGAACTCTTATTTTGGCTCTCATACCTCCGATTTCTTTATTTTCGACAAGAATTTCCACATCTAGCAATCGCCAAGGAATGTTCGGTCCATCGCCCATTACTGTGAGTGAGACCTTAAACTCATGTTTTACATGGAATGTAGCCCTCCCACCTTCAATCTAAAGGAGAAAAAAAATCAACATATGTAGAAAAAAGTCAGTACATTTCTAAATACTGAACATTTGATATTGTGGTAAGGTACACTTGAATAGCAGAATATTTTTGTGACTCACTGTGACATTTTTCATCTGCGGAAAAACATTGCTTGTGACAAGACGATGTTGAATGACCTGATTTAAGCGAAGTAGTGTATTTGCTTTCTCAGTAGTAGTAATTGGTTCTTGAGGTACAATACGGTCCTGCAAATAATATTTTTCCAAATGTTAGTTCAAAAATACAAAGGTCAGATATTTTTGAGTTTATTATTAAGATATGTGAAAATCAATAAAAATGTGTTTTAAGTACCCGAATGCACTGAGGTAAACGTCCAAAAGTTCCTGTAGTAAGAATTTCAACAGCTGCCGGGATATGGAAGTCGGGTAAGCATGCGTTAACAAGTGTTTCTCGGGCCATCTTTGCCAGCATATCAGCAGTATCCACAAACAATAAAGACTGCTTATCTAGAAAAGCCATGACATGTGCAGATTTCTCGACTTTAGACACAGAGCTAGCCCATTTGACCAAGGCCAGAAGGCGTACAAATAGTTGGCGTGTTCTAGCAGCAAAGTTGTATATTTCAATTTTTCTTTCCATGTCAGTTTTTTTGGGGAGACTGTAGAGAGAATGCATGATAAAGTTTCAAACCTGACTGTAGTAAATAATAATAATGGGATTGGAGAGTACTACAATTACTTACAGTTCTGCAAGTACCGTGAGTTCATGATATGTCCTCTGAACAATAAAGTCAATAAGGGTGGCGAGGCTAACGGTTCCACCACGTTGCCCTTCTGAAAGAGTATGTGGGAAAAGTACTTGTTCATGTTCTGGTTGATGCAATGGTTCTTCATGTAGAAGTGGAGGCTGTGGCTGAGGCTGTGGCGACTGCATCTGTTGCTGAGGTACTTGCTGTAGAAGCTGTTGTAGCTGCTGATGCTGTTGCGGTTGTTGCTGAAGCAGCTGCTGACCTTCCAAAGGTACAGGGGACATTTCTTCAAAATCCAGCTTGACAGAGGATGCTGAGATATGCCCCTGGAAACAATATTTGTGTGATTATTCCTCTCTCTATGGTGAACCCTGGGTTTTGCAGTAAGAAAGAAATTAGTACGAGAGACAACCCAAAGATTAAGTCTACCACACAATTTACAAAAAAGAAATATTAGCTTTCAGTTTTAAAACACAAGCAATAGAAGACCCACTTTACTGACCCCTTCACATATAGGAGCAGAAACAATGACAAGTCAACTTGTCGAATCATTTAGGTTACTACAAATTGACATTTATTCACAAAACTATGATAGTGACGACAAATCAAACGTGAAATTTTCACGTTCAAGAGTAAAATTTTTACAGAAAGTTATATAAGACAAATCAATGGTGAGGTAGACAAATAAACAAACGGTGTGATTTGTGTCGGTCTCTCACCTGGGGATCGGGTGACTGTATTACTGTAGCCAGGCGCTACGGCCGCACCAACTCACTGCCAAACTACACCATTCTAACGGCAATTATGATTCTGTGCGGGTGAACGAGATGAGATAATACCCATAAATCACCCAGCCGGCCATTTTCACTACACATATCAATCACTGAAAAACCACCTGCGAGTAGCGAACAGGCGATCGTCTGCTTGTTTTGGTTCTGCCTATAAACGATTTTGATCGTCCCGACCTGTCTTTAATCACAAAGGCACCGTACCTGGGCACGAATACCAAAAGGTACAATCTAAACCTTCATTAAAATTTCTGTGTAATTTCATTTTCGTGTTTAGCGAATACGGGATGTCTTATTTCCTCTTCTGAACTTAAGTTGCCGACAATCTGTCAATAGTGTCGTTGGGTTTGGGAAAAGTTTGTTGAACTTGAGATTCAGACAAGGCCGTGGGTGTGCTGCCGTGTGTCGGTCTCTTTACCGTCTGTCGGTGTTTGTGTCGTCTCCCGGTCGCCTTGGATAATTTATTGTCATCAAAATGTATTTTGTTTTTATAGATTTAGCCCTCGACGACCAAGTAAGTTGACTGAAGTTTCATTCCTTTCCTTTCCTTCTCAATGATCGGTGGCCCACTACCACATTCTTCATATCTGCCCTGTTTCGGCTTCATGTTTGCTACAACGTGCAAAGGTCTACGAGAGGAACTTGCGAACGCAAGGTTTTGGGATGTTGTAAATGCTCATCAAAAACTTATTACTTATTTATCGAGGTAAATTGCTGTTGGCAGACGTTCCATCAGAGCTAGATGATCCACGATCATCTGTCACCCTAACCTCTATTTACATGCCTTGTAGGTTATGACAGTAATCAATCCGATGACTATTGATGATATGTTCCTATGTGGAATACTGTCGTTTTTATTTGAAGGAGTTTTCGATACTATTGACTCGTTTCTCGGTCGTCTATCTAGACACTTTGCATGTTTCATTCTGGACGACCCGCTTACTCAACACCATCTGCTAGCTATCTGTTGTTTCCCCATTATAGTACAGAAATTTACTGTTTCCGAACGTAGTGTCAATCTTCATTATGAAATGGACTCTAAAAACTGTACCTCAAGTAGGGCATCAAACTTTTATTGTGTTTGTTTCAGGCGCAGGAGCTACGTGCTTACCTTAAAGGTTTGGGAGCTGAAATATCAACAGAGAAATCGCCCAAAGGGATAGAAGATGATCTTCACAAAATCATAGGTGTTTGTGACACCTGTTTCAAAGATGCTCCAGAACCGGAAATTGAAAGTGTCTTGAATGGAATTGTATCTATGTTAGTGACTGTAAGTATGCCATCTTCATTTATGACCAAGCTCTGGACATTAATCGGGTGAAATAACTGAAAATAAACATCAACTGTTTTCTTATTTTTAGATACCACTGGAAAGGGCTGAAAACTTGGTCTTAGCATTTTGTGAAAAGCTTACAAAAGCCACTGGCCAACATTTGAAGATGGTTACTTTGAGAGTGTAAGTATTATAGTATTTATTATTTAATTTAATAGGGCTACCTACTGCCCTGGGTTTATCACATCAGTTATGTTAGCTATTATTCAACACTAAGTGGCCTCATATTCTAGCAATGGAATTGATTTAATAGTCTCTTAAGCTTCTGAATCTTCCCTATTAAGGCGTGGAAGGTGATGATAACCAAATCGGGCAAGTCCCGCTTCAATCAACTTTGAGGCACATTTGGGATGCTCCCACCTTTTAATATTTTCCAATTCATTGGAATTGAATGAGAGAGAGGGCATGTCATCTGCGATTGTTCTGGCTTTAAAGTAAATCGAACATAAGAGTTATTGCCATTTGCAACATATGTTTCTAAATGTAATTTCTTTTAAGTATCCCTCTTTTCAATTTTCTTCCAGTCATTTGTATTGTGATTGGATAGGGAAGGAGGGCATATTATCTGCGCTAGTACTGGCTTTTAAGTATCCTCAACTTAAGAGTTATCGTAATGTGCAACACATTTTCGTGGATGTCATTTCTGTATCCCTCCTTTCAACTTTTTCCAACCATTACCGTTGTGGTTGGATAGGGAAGGAGGGCATATTATCTGCGCTAGTACTGGCTTTTAAGTATTCTCAACTTAAGAGTTATCGTAATGTGCAACACATTTTCGTGGATGTCATTTCTGTATCCCTCCTTTCAACTTTTTTTCCAATCATTACCGTAGTGGCTGGATTAGGAAGGAGGGCATATTATCTGCGCTAGTACTGGCTTTTAAGTATCCTCAACTTAAGAGTTATCGTAATGTGCAACATCTGTATTCTCCTATTAGAATCTTTCCCATAGTACCTTCAATACCTCATAAGGGTTATTGCCATTTGCAACATATGTTTCTAAATGTAATTTCTTTTAAGTATCCCTCTTTTCAATTTTCTTCCAGTCATTTGTATTGTGATTGGATAGGGAAGGAGGGCATATTATCTGCGCTAGTACTGGCTTTTAAGTATCCTCAACTTAAGAGTTATCGTAATGTGCAACACATATTCCTGGATGTCATTTCTGTATCCCTCCTTTCAAATTTCGTCCAATCATTATTATTTTGATTGGATTAGGAAGGAGGGCATATTATCTGCGCTAGTACTGGCTTTTAAGTATTCACAACTTAAAAGTTATCGTAATGTGCAACATCTGTATTCTCCTATTAGAATCTTTCCCATAGTACCTTCAATACCTCATTCGTTCTAATTTAATCCATGTTTTGTTGTTGTTCTCTTTGCTTGCAGGATGTGGCTTCTTTTCCAATCACTTGATGAGACAAGCCCAATGCGGTATCATGTTTACTTTCACTTGGTGCAAATTGCTCGCTCGGTAGATCAAATGAAATATGTTTTTAAAGATGTTATCCACCTCAAGTCTCAGTTTGCTACTTGCCCCCCATCAAATGAGCAAATGCAGAAACTGTTGCGGTTACTTCATGAGGCACTCCTTGCCAGCAAAAATAGGTATACATTTGCATTATGATGCCACATTGATTCTTGCAGCTCCTTGTCTTCTATTGTATATCATCTACCTTTGGTTTCAGTGAGCAGGCTTCCAAAGTAATGGTGGAATTACTGGGCACCTACACCACAGAGAACGCCTCTCAGGCGCGAGAAGATGCACAGCGGTGTATATTAGCAGCCTTGGCTGATCCTAAAACCTTCTTGTTGGACCCCCTCCTTGCCTTGAAGCCTGTGCGCTTCCTGGAGGGAGAGCTAATTCACGACCTTTTGTCAGTATTTGTATCCGAGAAACTCTTAGTCTATCAGCAGTTTTACCAGAACCACAAAGAGTTTGTGAATGGGCTTGGTGAGTGGGTTTGCTTTTACGCTTTACTGGTTTTGGGTTTTCTTTTTCTGAAAGGTACGTTCTTTTTTTATATCAGGCTTGAATCATGAGCAAAACATGAAGAAAATGAGGCTCCTCACCTTCATGCAGCTTGCTGAGGACAACCCTGAAATGACGTTCCAGAAGCTTCAGGAGGAGCTACAGCTAAAGCCTGAAGAGGTGGAGCCATTTGTCATTGATGGTATGTGTCTTGACCTGCCTGTGATTTCCTCTTACTAAATATTATAGGATCTTCATTACTAAATAGTCACCTTGCATTGGATTAATTTGTTTTAGTGCTGAAGACTAGACTTGTGCGGGCAAGAATGGATCAATCTGCTCAGAAAGTTCACATTTCCAGCACAATGCACCGTACATTTGGTCAGCCTCAGTGGCTGCAACTGAGAGATATTCTTCAGACCTGGAAGCAAAACGTTGTTGGCGTTCAAGAGGGTATGAGTGCAATTGTTAAACCCAAAATTGAAGCCAAGAAGTAAATATAATTGGTGTGTCATGTCCTGTAATACTGAGTAAATTTAACATCTGTGAGTATTTCTGTGTATATTTTGTTGTTATGCGTATACTACATCCACCAGCTAACTTTCAAAATGGTCAATTCCTATCTTCCATTAGCTCCATATGATCTGAGGGCTTTATATTAATTTTGGTTTATGTGCTTGGAATAAATCTAAGAGCATACAATTTTTTTTTAATTTTATTCATTAAAATCATTCATTCTTTGACACATCATGCAAATTATTTTTCCTCCAGGAAATCTCTTATGAAATCCAATCATCACTTCGTCACAAAATCCGTTTGCACAGTTACTGGGTGAATATATTAATAGTTTTAAGTTTGGAATTTCTAGATCATCATAAAAAGATACTGCATCATTTCTGAATGAGGGCAAATCTAAAAATAGAATCTGGATTGATATTTGGAACAAATTAAGTATCTGTTTGCAAGTACATCTAGTGTCATCATCATGTTTTCTACGGTAGATGTTGCAGTACCCAACATGTTCCATATACCATCTACCGTGGTACCATGTTGCAGTCCCCACAAAAAAACATGCACATAACTATCACTAAAACAATGAAGAAATAACATTGGTATATTACTTATAAGAAGTAATGATGAGAAAAAGTATCAGTTTACCAGCTGGTGTTTACATTGGAATGAAGCATTGCCACAATATTTGGTGATCTGGTAGATCAATGGGGAGAAGTGTGAATTCCTGATTGTGATAATTTGGGGCATTATGAGAAGACATCAATGAGTTACTGAGGTTTTCACCTTCTGTTTGAATATTTTATGGGGCATACCTTCTTATCAATGAAACACCTGTCAACTGTTCCAAGGCACTTGAGGCAGAATACATGCCCACATGGCAGTGCTTTAGGCCTTCGTCCTAGTTCATTAAATCTCTCGAAACACTCTAGGCATTCCATCTACAAAAAGAAATTTCGTACAAAATTGATCTTGTTTGTTAGGGTCATTCCCCATGAACATGAGTGAACTAAATTATTTTCTTGTTATAAATACAACCACAGTACACATGAGGAAATAATATTTCCTCTTGCACAAAAAGAATCTGTGTTTTCAACAGCATCACTTATGTTCTGTCCTATAACTCTCCTCCCATCCATTTTCAAAGTTTCAGACTTTTACTGAGGAAGAGGAAGAGTTGTCACAGTTGTCACTTTGAGTGATTGTTTCACCACTGGGCGTTTGAGGGGCTGCGTCGTGAACAGCAAGTTTTAGTCTCTCTCTGTCTCTCTTGTAAGACTTCGGGTCTTCGGCTGGCGGCTGAGCAACAAGTGAGCAAGACAGAGAAGGAGAAATAGAAAACAAAGAGTCGCTTTCAAAGGCAGCCGAGCTCACGTGCGAATAGTCGTGCGGTGCGCTGGGCGCAGTCGAGTCGAGGGACGGACAGAGAGAGGCGGCCGGTCGCAGTAACCTTTTAGCTGAAAATCTGACTAACCAGCAACTGGCAACGCAGAGGAGGACCACAAATTAGCAGGTAGAACTGGCTCGATCACCATTTTAGTCTCTCTTCCGTCCAATTTGAATTGCCTGTACTGTATGTGTTTGTGTGAAATGTTTAGCCTATATAGGTTAAACTTAGAGGGGAAAAATCTGATTTGATTTCCGATATACTATCTCTTTTTGGTTGCGTATATTTTCACCTCAACTTGCCTGCATATCTTTCGAAGGAGAATCCCTCGTCACCTCAGTCCATACCTTATATCCCGCTGAAATTTAAACCACGTCGCGATGTTGTGCAATCCCTCAAGGGGGCGGCAGCAACGCACCGGTCGCCGGCCACCTTCCCGCCGCGGGTTCAAACGGGTTCAAACCGATGAACCTCTGCACGCGTGCCAGCAGTTTCATGAACATATCTGATTGCGTTTTGCAGACATGGAGTGCTCCCGGTGCGATCAGCGGTACGACCAAGAGGCCCGCCAGCCGAAGATTTTGCCGTGCGGCCACACCTTCTGCCTGTCCTGCCTGCAAGGGGCGGGCCAGTGCTTCAGTGACGGCAAGGTGGGTGAAGGCTAGGATGTGACACATTCTCCAGGGCACAAGTGTCTTGGTTCTGGCGGGCGCCTGCAACGCGTCGGGTAGGCCAGCCCGCCGAGCAGCTGTGCGGAGCCGGCGGCCCGCCTGGAGCGCGGGCAGGCGCTCAGAGTGCAGACCACCTTCTCTAGGGGCTGGAACGCCTCTTCGTTGAACTCTCTCGCTCCCTGCAGGCGTTCCCCGGCGTCGACTGCCTCCCGGACGACCAGTACACCCTCAGCCTGGTGACGGGCGACATCCGCCGGCACCCGGATGACCCCGGCCCCGGTGCGCTCCAGCTGTGGTGCCGGGGGTGCTCGGCGGCGGCCTCGGACTGCTGCGTGGACGACGGTCACGAGCTGGTCCCCTC